AGCTTTATAATACGGCTCATGTATCGATCGAATTATGTTAAGAGACCATTATTCTATAAAAAGCATTTTATAAAAAGTATTTTAATGATGTTTTAATTTTCACTTGATTATTACAATGACCTTAAACAGATATGAACGCGCGCTAGTTGCATTGTTGATAATAATGAGAACAGACATGTATCAATTGAAATTTAGTTTTATTTTTGTTTATTTGTAACTTGAAACTTTAAATTTTTTGCTTACTAACAGAAAAACAAATTTTTGTGTGAAAAATATTAATATTGTTTGCAAAAATTATGGATAAAACAAGTGATTTGACACCTCAGATTGTTGCAGAGATAAAAGCGCTGATTAACAGCGAAAATTATTCTAATCGACTAAAAATAAAATTTTAGCTAAAAAATAAAATATAAATAAATAAATATAATATAATATAAATAAATAAATAAATATAAAAATAGTAGCTTTTCTTTTCCTCCTAACCTATATTCTATTACAGAATCAAAGTGCTTCTAATAATATGACCAGGGACTGTATATGTTAGTGCGTACTGTTTAGGAAATGAATGACTTTCAATACCTGGTAAGATGCAACTCACGTAGTTGACAATGTATTAATTGTGTCGCGCTTGTTCAGCATAGCAAATTAGATTTAATTTCGACTCTAATAATATAATTTACTTCTACTTTGATTATGATGATGTCTGAATCTTCTGTTTTCGCTATTTTAGCGTTAAAATAGGTCGTTCAAAGTAGCGTAAAAATTAAATCTGTAGAATTAAATGTTTAACAGGAAAAGTAACTCAGCAAAAATATATTTTTATTAGCTATCTATCTTAGCTATCTATCACAAATTATTTCTACACGGAGAGAAAGATTTCTTCGGATTTCATGAAATTTCATTAATTGAAACAAATTTGTCTTTTGGATTACAACAAAACAAGTGAATGTTTGATTTAACAATAGTTTTAAGTCTTGAAAAAAGACCATTTTATTCCAATTTTTCTGCGGATTTTTTTATCTTCTTTATGAAAAAAAAATTAATAAATGTAGCAGGTTTTAATCAAACAGACGTGAATTTTTTTTAACTGAGAGAAAAGTACTTAAAAATATATTTGTAAAATAATACATAAAGTTTATTTCACAGAAACCTTATATCCCACAAGTAGATTTTTAAGTTCTTTTTTCTTAGTGTACATTTTCATATCTTTGAGAAAAAATTGAGGAAAACCGCGGAAAATTAGTGAAAAAGATGTTCTCTCTGAAATTTTAAAATTATAAATTCAACAAATATGCTTGTTTAATTTTTCTGACAATAAATATCTTTACACGTCAAATAACATATTTCTTTTATATTTTCATTCAAACATTACAATAGTTGTCACAAGCAATGAATTATTTGAAAGAAATAACATCATATTAGAAAAATATTAAAGAACTATCCTTTATTTCAGTGAAACAATGTTTAATATATAATGAAATACATTTTTACAATTGAAAACGAAATATTATTTTCTCTGAATAATATTGTTCTTCCTATCAAGCAACATGATTTTTTCTAGCGAAACAACATTTTCATTCAAATAAAATGAGATTTGACGTTAAATTATGTTGTTTATATTAAACAAATCCGGGTGAAGCAAACACGTATACAAAATCCGAAGAAACCTTCTTCTCTGTGTCGGAGCGTCGAAGTAACATCGAGATTTCGAGTCCGTTCGAAACGCAGGATTTCATGGCGGATTCGATGTCTAATGCGAGACGCCAGAAGAGAAAACGCTCACCCACGGATAACAGCTGACACATTTTTCTGACTTTTACGTCGCCGTGCCGTTTGGGAAATTTCCGATGCTCGGGCTGTCTACAATGTCGCGGGTACCACGAGCAGAGACGTGTGCTTGGTCTTCGAGCTGGTGCGAGAAGGCGGTTCCTCTCGCGCGCCCAAAATGTGGCCCGCTGCACCAGGTCGGAGCACCGACGCGCGGTAACGCGTGCATATAGGCCTTGGTCGGCTGCAGCTCGAAAGAGGAGACGATAATGACCTTCCACGGAGGAGCTCGCCGACGGAGTAGGAGGGCCTTTGACACACTTGACGCTCAGGTGAATTGTAACCGAGGACGGAAAGGCTCGTGGTTAGTGCTGAGCGAGAGATCGGACGGAGCGCGTCTCGACCGGTTAGGAGAGAAAGAGAGCGCGTGGCGACGGCGAAGAGACAACGAGACGTGATATGTGTCGGAGGACGACGGAGTGACGATCGCTATGATCGACTCGCCGACGATCATCGCCGTGTGGTGACGACGATGCGACCTGGTGAGGGTCGCCGATCGTGCGTCGCGCCGAGCAATCGCCGGGGACCCTTCGCGGAGCAGCAGCTGAACAAGAAGAGGAAGAAGAAGAAGAGGCTGGACGAGAACGGCGGAGGGTGGGAGAAGAGCGCGATTTTCGGCGGAGGGGTCGAATCGAGGCTGAACCCCGCGGAGATTTCCAATAAATAGTTAAGCCGCGCGACCACCGCCGGTAGATACCAAAGATACCGAAACCCGGCACGTGGCTCGACTGGATCGTGTGTGTGCGTGTGTGTATATACCCGTGTGTGCGTGTGACTGATCGGCGATGATCGACATGAAATCAAAAGTGCGCCCCTTCCAGTTACTGGGTCAGTGACTGTCGCATCCGGCGCATTCGGGACGTGCAGTGCTTCCGGGACGTTACCTCACACTTCTTCTGGTCATACGTAAACACAGTCAGATAGGAATATTTCAACGTGCTTACCCACACGCGCAAACACATACATTGGTGCATATACACACGTGGTCGATTCGTGCTCGACCGACCGAAGATGTGTCGGTGGACGACGGTGCTCCTGTGGTGGCTCTCGATCGCGTCGTCGTCGCACTCGGCGTTGTTCAGCGTCGAGAAGCTCAGGCTGTACGCGAGCATCCTGAGCCTCGGCCTGCCGAGACCCGTTAACGAGACGGGCAATGAGCTTTGGCACGGTCTCTTCAGGGATTGCAGCAAGAGGGTGACGTTCTCCTGCATACAGAAGAACGCGTACAGCTACCTGGGTAACGCGTTCCTCGAGCGGGACAACGTCACCGTCTTCGACGGCCTGGTACTCACGCGGAACAACGTCACGTACGACGTGACGTGTCCCCGAGCGGAGAACCGTAACGACGTCCGCGAGAATCTCGTGGATGACGTCAGCGCGGACGAAGACGACTGCGCGAGGAGAGCGGAGAGCAATGACGAAGAAGCGGATGCGGGGCAAGGTCGAAGGTTCGAGGACGAGCCGAAGTCGCCGCTCGAGGAGATCGTGGACGCGCTACGACACAAGGCGATGAAGTTCCTGTCGACTCGCAACTACGAGCTCCAGCTGCCGCGCTTCTTCTTCGAAGGCGCCACCGTGAAGATCAGCCCGCGCGAGATCGACGAGAACGGGGCCCTCCTCAGGGTGGACTTCGGCACCCAGCCGGTGCAGGAGCAGGGCCGAATCTTCAAGAAAATCAGTAATTTTGCCATCGTCCTGCGACAAACAAACGAAACATAAATATATATATATAAGGCATCGATAAAAATAATTAATTTATTAATTAAATGTAATTATAATATTACGATTTTCATTTTATTTTTGTTTATTATTTGTTTTTGTAGAAATTTGTCTTTCAACTAATACTATAAAATGTTATAATTTCCCACTCAACAATGTAACTGTCATATGTAACGTATATTGCATTTACATTGTTGAGTGAGAAATTATAACATTAATATAAATTTGATATTATTGTTAGTTGTTGCATTTATGTATTATATTAAAACGTTAATATTTTAAATAAATGAAATAACTCATTTATTTATCATAATTAATTAAATAAATAAAATTAATTATTTTATTTATTCGAAATATTAACACTTTAGCACAATACATAAATTCCAATCTGATATCATGTACAAAAATGGATCCAGTAAACATCAAATTAATTAATTACCTAAGAACAATTATAACAAACACGGAGAAATTTCATCATACCTCGATAAGGATGGGAAATACAACGCTATGTTCTTTCTTTTTCAGAGAAGTTCATACAAAACAAATTATTGACAAGTTTCTTGGCGCTTCTCCTGATCATCAAGCTGATCAAAGTGAAGTTCATGTTCGTGATCCCGTTCCTCTTCGGTGTGGGCACCGCGAAGAAGCTCTTCTTGAAGCTGTTGCTGTTCTTCATCCCCGCGTTTGCGCACATCTTCAAGCTCTGCTCCAGTTACTACTCGAGCCACTCCACCAAGTTCCACCACCACCACCATCAGGTATGTAATCCCTCGCGTTCAGGTCTTCCGTGTTTACACGAGATACTTCTTCCTCTTCGTCTCAGATCGCGCATCACCATCATCACGTGCCGGTGCCGGTGCCGGTTCCCACATACTACGACCATCACCATCACCACCCTCATCACGAGAACGATGACTTCGACGGCTACGATTATGCCCACCCGCATATTCAGTACCGGAAGGACATGGAGGAGCTGAAAGAATGGGGTATCGAGCCGTACGACGAGCAGTACGAGGACTCGAGTCAACATTTGAACCGCGTGGTGCCAGCCGGGTCCGCGTATCAGAGTTCATACGGGATCTCGCAGTACGCGCCGAACGTCAAGCCCATCGAGTCGACCTACCTGGACAATTCAGCCGGCGCGCACAACCTGGCCTATTCCGGGTATCTCAACGACGTCAAGTACAACCGGCGGCCGGCGCTCTCGGTGCACCCGAATCTCGTTGCGAAGACGCCGCTGACGAATCTGAAAAACACGTACGCGGCTTTCGCGTCGAACGTGCGACCAGGGCATCCTCAAGTGCAGCGACTGTTGACGCCCGTCGCAGGGGCCAAGAGCGGGACCGTGTCGGGCCTGCTGCAAGAAACCGACGACGAGTACTACGGGCCGATGATCGCGAGGTTGGACGACATCTTCGGGCAGCTGAGGTTCTACGAAGAATCGTGTCGCGAGAGGCTCGTCTGCAGCATGTACAAGAACCCGGCGGTCTACTCGCCGCACAGCAACCTCGTGTCCAACGAGCTTTCCAGGTAACGCGTCCAGTGTTCATCGGTATGTAATAATCGGGGAATCAAGAGGTGGTAAGCGTTAGGACACGGAGAAAAATCTCTGTTGCTCGGCGACCGGATAAAGATCAGGCGCAAAGATTCAGCTGAAAGAATTAGGTAGCGGGAGCTAAAATATAGCTATGGCGTTTGAAATGGAGAGACAATGGCGTTGATGTCGCAGCTAAGTTTAGCAGATGTTTGAATTTAGACGTTGTAGCGATAAATATTAACCAGATCGACTAGAAATGTATTACTTTCTTTTTTTGAAAGAAGCTATGTTTAAGATAGTTGGTTGGTTGAAAAATTTTCTTAGGAATCCTTGCAAATTTTACCTGCATATTGATGGAAATATTACACTTTGCAAAGTTAGAAAACGGTTGGCCATTCGGAAATTGAGATATTTGCAACTGAAGATAGACACTTTTTATACGCGTTTCTTGAGGTTGATATTCTACTTTTAATTTCTATTTTCAATTTCTTCTAAAACACATTTAGGATTTTAATGAAAAACTATTGTGATATTAAAGAGTAAAATTACGTGCACGTGTGTTTATATAAAAGTTTCAAAATTTTTCACGATATATGTGTACGTATATATACATATTTATAAATCACTTCCTATAATGTGTGCATTTCTATTAGCTCAACTGATGTATGAATAGAACATTGATTGGAAAAATAAAATCAATAATATTTTCGTGTTTGTAATATTGCATATGTATGTATATAAATATAGAAAGGTCTTTTTTCAGTAAATAATAAACTTTTGAAAGTGCCTTAATATCGTTATTGAAAATCCGGCATTTTACGGACCAACTATCTTAAGATGTTAGTATATTCTAATTTTATCTGAAATTTAGCCATTTGATTTAATTTAATGCTAAAACATGCTTGAACGCTAATGGACTCGAATTCGAGGTCTTTGCATCGTGAGTTCTTCAACTTGAGCACTACACTACTTCGTCGATTGATATAAACATATTTCATACTATCATGATGTGGCCAATACAATCATATATAATCAATCTTAACTACTCGTATTAATAATTTTAGATTATTAATAATAAATTAATTAATAAATTTGTAGTTTGCAGCAAGTATATTTTACTTCTAGTAGCTAACTTCTAATTAATGACTTGTAATCAATGATAGCAAAGTTCAAATTAGCTAATGAGATTTAACTGCTATTATTAAATGATTTCTCTGAGTGTAAGAACTTGGTGACAAGGGATGATCGGGCGATTTTTACCCGTTACGAAATTCATCAGATTGAAAAGCATGGCAACTGTTCTCACATGAAAATAAATGGTGTTGTATTAATATAACTGATCAACAGTGTCATTTAATTGAAATAAATTTTTTTGATTCTAGCAGAAAGAGCGTTATTGAAATTAATACATCATACATTGTTTCAATAACTCGAATATTAGTTTTAATTGTATTTCTATTATTTCAATCAGAGCACCGTTGATCAGTTTTATTATATACAACAGCATATTTCTTCCGTGCAGCCAACTGTACCTACTAATTATACTCAGATAGACTTTCATGGTCATCACGACGTGAAACAATCGATGATAGACACTTTACAAATTTTTTAATTATATTGACGTAGCAAATATATTGATAGAACTCATGATTAAATTTACACTGCACAATGATATAAATTTTTCGTACCAATGCAACAATAAGTTCACTAAATTACATTCAGATATTCATATCATATTTATATCGCATATTATTTCGGGAAAATTTTGATAACTTCTTTTCGCATTTCCTTCGTATTTCTTTCGCCATTTTCGTAATAAATATAAACGTCACATGAGCCATTCATGAGGAACGCAACCTCTAAAAATCGACTGATAAAGTTGCCGCCAAGCTTCCGCGCACACCTGTCTATCCGTGCACTAACGTTTCCGCCAACTTCACGTAAGCCTCAATCCGAGTTTAAACTCTCTTCGGAAGAAGCCTTAAACTCAGATCGAGGTTTAATCGACATCGACGGTAACGGGCAGCAGAGTCGATGGGAGAAAGATCGTAACGCTTTTACCACGATGAACGCATCCGGTATCCGATGGGACTCGTCATCACTTGAGAATCGCCGAGAGACGAGTTCTTCTACGGTACGGTCCCGAAACTTATCGGAAGAAACCAAAACGTCGCTTCCCTTCGCCGGCGCGAAAATATGCGCTTTATCGATCGGATCGGCAAGAACGAGGAGAAAGGTGGAGATCGCATCGCGCCGCGGCGTCTTATCGCCTGCGCTCCGAATCGCGTTAATGGGGACACGTTGGCCTTGGCCGGCTCTCTCTCTCTCTTTTTCTCGCGGTTTCGCGCTCTTTTTGCCCGGGTTCTTATTCAATGCTACGCGATCGCGCTCCTCGTACCACAGCCCAGACCCGTTCTTTGTACTCCGCCTTGCGATTTGAGCATTCCACCAACAACCGGCCCAAGGATACTACTTTCCTCGGCCTCTCCCCCGTACGGCGGCGCGACGGAGCGGAAATATATGGAACGATTCCGCGTTGGCCGCGACCGACGGATAACTCATCGACGCATAATTACGGCTTCTCGAATCAGCGGGCTCCACCTGCGTCACCGATGACCAAATTGCCTCGACAATCGCGGCCTCCTCGTTCGAATTGTTCCGGCATTGACGAGGCGGAGAGGAGAGCGGGACGACGTGAACCGGGTCGTCGCTCGGAACTGATACAATTAACACATTGCCGACCGCGAGAGTTGCGCTTTGCCAGTTTTTCGGAAAACATCCCGAGTAGAAATGTTTTGGCGGAAATACCGGAAACTAGTCAGTTTTTACTGATCACGTTTTACTAGACAGTATATATATTTTCGTAAACAGTACGTAGTGACGGGCTGTCTATAATAGCCGTAAAGTACGCGGTAAGACAACAGTAAGCTCATTCACCAATCGGATTCTTACAATCCAAGAATAATCACGACTGTGGTGAGTCAATTAGCTTACTGTTTTACGTTTTACCGCGTATTTTACGGCTAGTAGATGAGCCTTAACGCTTTCTTAAGTTGAATCAGTGAAAATATCACTAATTGAATCAGTGAAACGGTATTCCACTGATAATCAGTGAATATTCACTGATTTATAATGAAGATTCTTCCACTTTACTTTTTTTTTGTTTATTTGTAGTGGAGATTCTTCCACTTAGCTTCTAATTCACTGATTTCAGCCAGTGAAACATTCACTGTAAATTGCTATTACGCATAACGGATGTAATATGTATATGCGTTCAACTATATGTCATATTTGTCGTAGTGCGTATGGACTCAAAAGTTTCGAGTCTCATTAGGATAAGCGTGTTTTTTAAATACGATATAAATTAAATCAATTAAAACATAAGAATATTCCGGACGAAATCATTGATAATACTTTAAAAGTGGGATTGAGATAAAAAAGAAGTAATAGATAATATCTTCTTTTACTGTTTCTGCAATTAGATTTTTCCAACGGTAACAATTGTTGCTATTAACAGATTTTTGCAACGCAATTCTACTGATTTGCAGCGTTATACTTATAACTATGATCTGATCAGTGATAATACACTGAGAAACGATCGATAGTCACTGGTGCTCATAGTTATAAGTGTAGCACTGCAAATCGGTAAAATCTCGCTGATGAACTTAGCCAATAGCATCGATGTTTTCATTAGTAAAATCTGACTGCAGAACAGTGAAAAAAAATATTATTTATTCTTTTTTCTTATCTTAATTACTCTGAAGGTGTAATTTACTGTTGTTTTTAACAAATTATTACACGTAGCAGCTATTATATTATTTGGATCCAAAATTGCGCAAGATCAATTATCTTTTCTCGATAATCTTGAATATTATTAATTGCTGTTTGATACGCAAAAGATTTCAAATATCTCCCATAAGAAGAAATCCATCGGAGATAAATCCGGAGAACGAGCCGGACTGGTCCATATACATATATATATATTTATATATATTTATAATACGATTTTCAAAGGTATCCTGCAGATACTTTTGAACTTTTCGTGTATTATAGGTTGGACAATCATCCTGTTGGAATTACACACCCCTTATATCAAAGAGGATATTTCGTTCTGGCAATTATCTATTAAACAAGTGCAGATATTGATATGATGTTAAGGTTATGATAGTGCGTTGAAATCGTTTGAAAATCCCTTGCAATATTATGAAAAAAATTCTATCGTATCATTTAAAAAATTCAACGTGACCTTAGTTCAAAAAAAAGAAATGTTTCAATTTTTTACTGCAAGTTGTAACTTGCATGAAACAGATGAATATTCACATTTCAACTTTTTTTACGCAATATCGTATACGTAAATTCAACCATTTGTCATATTTTTTATTTGGTGCTCGCATGATAGCAAACTCAAGAGCCAGAGATTTCGAGTCCCATCAGGATAAATGTTTTTTCTTAAGTGCAATTCAAATTAAATCAATCAAAACGTAATTAAAAATATTTTAGGTAAAATCATTGACAACACTTAAAGAATGTGATTAAGATAATAACAGAGAAGAAATAAGTATTTTTTTTCTACTGTTTCTGAAGTCAGATAATGGGAACTATCGCTATTAACAGATTTTAGCTATGAGCGATTATTTTCTGAATTGCAGTAATATACTTGTAACTATGACCACTAGTGCTTATTGACAATACACTGATTGCACTTTAGGGAGCACATAGATACAATGTCTCACACTGTCAGGATTATGATGGTGGGAGCTGAAAGGGACGGACACTACTCGCGTCACCGATATACGCGCGGTCGACATCGGACTGTTCCGACAAACTGATCGTTTCTTTCGCCTGTTTTCAGAGACCCGCAGGAGCTGAAGCGTGGCGCGTCGGAAAGCGCGTCCAGCCGGAAGTTCCACCGGTACACGAGCGCGGCCAGGCACGGCCAGAACGGCGGAGACTGCCTGCGAATGTACCCCTGCCACGTGAACACCGAGTAGGCGGCGCGTCGCGAGTAAAAATACGGAATTTTCACGGACGTATTATAAACCTGCAATCAGAAAACGACAGATGTTGTCGGTCCCGCGAGCGACGCGCGAGTGCGGTCAGACGTACATATTTGCTCAATAGACCCAAGGAGGAGGAGAAGGAGGGGATCAAGCGCAACGCGTGTTTCGACGTCACGTATAATATCAGTGTGTATACGTGTGTGTATGTGTGCGTGTGTGTGTGTGTGTGTGTGTGTGTAAAGGGACCGACGGTTACTGCCATGCATTAAGTTACATTCTCGTCGAAAATCGCGAATTAACCTACCTATGGGGAGGCCATATCCGCGAAGCGTCCCATCGGCGAGAAAACTGAGATTGTTGAGCGCACGAGCATCGTTATAGTTATAGTTTTAAAGTTCCAGAAAAAGACCGTACTTTCCATTTTCCCGAGAATTTCTTTGATTTCTGTCCCGGGGGTACAAAAATTCGTTTAGAAAAATTCACGTGCGTTCGGTTAAATCCTGCTACATTTAATTTTTTCCGTAAAAATGATCAGAAATAAGAACAAAATCTGCGGGAAAATGGGGGAAAACAGTTTTTTTAGCTAAACCTTAAAACTATATCGTATAATCGCAGCGATTAACCTAGCCGTAAGGAGCTAAACAGCGTAATCGCGTAATTTTTCCCTAGAGCGAAAATACGAAAAGTGAACATTTCCAAATGCCTTCAATTAAAAAATTTTCACTTTTCACAAATTCACGCTGAAGAATAAAATTTATGATCTTTGAGAGTCGTAAATTGTGAATCTTATCCTCTAGCAGGGACTCATGAAAACTGAGAATCTTTTAATTTGAAAGCATCTGAGAATGTTCACTTTTCACATTTCCGTCCTAGGGAAAAATTACGCGATCACTGCTGTAATCAGCACGTCGAGTGCAGTATTTATTGTGTTTTATGCCAGTTTGTCTTTTTTTCTCACTCCTTTTTTTTTTATTTAGAGACCGGATACGCGTCTCTCAACGACATGGGAAATCGTTGGATGTTGCGATGACGTGTCAAAGTTTCTGTAGTCTGTTGACACGTTGTCGGCAAGATCACAGTCTTCAGAAATGAATACGATCGCTTCATGAGATCGATCGTTGGATTAAGGGGCATTTTATGAGCTGGATACTCGCGTTGTAATTATTTCCAGGCGACTCCGCGTGCGAAGCGTGTGGGCTGTTGCGGAAAGCAATAAGAGGGATTTCTTTGATTTAGTTAAACCCGATAGAATGGAATGGAAAGTGAGCGATACGTGTAACGTAGAAACGAATTCAGAGAAGTAGCGTCTCCGACGGTTGTAGATCTGTGTGTTTGTCTCACTGGAATGCAATTAATCGGTTGTTATCACGTAATACACCGGGGTGCCATACCCAATAATAGTTACGTTTTATTTAACATTATATGCTAAAATCTTCTTAGTTTCTTAGCAGTAAGAAGTATGTAATGTAAAAAGTATAAATATATAGTTTCAACTAGTTTTCTAGCGCAATTGTATATCCTACATGTTAATTTATATACAATAAAAATGCTGAAATATTAAATCGAGCTTCATTTTATTACGTATTATTAATAATAATGATCCTTAACAACAGGAAACACTCTTTAATACACATAATTGAAGCAAAAATATCGTAGACAGACAGACAGAAAAGAAAGTTAAATATGTAGTAATTAAGTAAATGTATATATAGTACTAAGTAAATGAGTAGTTTGATGATGATATAATTAAAACTAATAGAAATTAAGGCTAATGAAGTCGCATGTAGTATGGAATGTTGAAATCTTGTCGAATTATGACATGGACAAATCTACAGAGTCGGAGAATAAATTAACACTTGAACATAATCTGTCAATATGAGAATTCTTATCTTTGTAAACGATGCACCAGCACTTGTATCTTTAAAAGGAAGTAATTCTCCAGAGAAAAATCGGATAAATTATCGGCTTAATAATGTATCCAATTATTATTTTTACTGTCCGATTAAATGCTAAAGATACCTTTTTCTGATGAAAATATGTGACGAAGTTACCGATGCAATTACCAGTGAAAATGAATCGTTTTTTTGTTGTATATTTGTTGTAATTTCCATCGGAAGAAAGCATGACTTGATCGGATGAAATGATCGGACATTGTACTTAATAGGGTATCCGTTTGTTACGTTTTTAATTGTATCATCCAATAAGATATGATCGAATATTTTTCTCAGTGTAAAAATGACAGAAAATAAAAGGAGAACTAAGGGCGAGTCCTTTTGATTCCAGTTCTTTCACGGTAAATTCGCTGTGGAATTATTAACATTTTTACAAAAGTTATCAAACTTTTGTGAAATGGTCGAGATGGGAACAAAAATTCGCTGTATATCGATCTCCACAACAAATTAAAATCAACGTTGCTCAGAAATATTTAGATTTACTAATGGTGTACCATTTCCCATCTTTCTTATTTTTGATAAATAACTCTAATAATTTCTAATAAATAATAAATCTTACGAGGATACTTAGATAGCTGAACTGCTAGTAATTTATAAATATACACTTTTCTAGAAATTAAACACAGGGGGAGAACGAACGAAAAGCGGATACCGAAGTGAATTTAAAGCTGACTAACAAAACCGAGTGCATTTCGCCGAATGGACGCAACGTTCGAACGACATTTCGCTCGGATATCGAAAACGAAATCGTCGCAGAGGGACAAGGCGGTTCTCGGGGCCGTGAAAATATCTACACCCTAGATAATGAGGCTTTCTTCTTTTCTTTCGACCAGCCGGTAGCCGACCACGTCTCTGATCAGAATTCATCAGACGTACGCGGCTGCCATCGGCTATAAAACCCCGTTGACTTCGTTCGAACTGGCATTCGGTGTTTGGCCTGGCAAATCGGTGGTACCGCCATGAGGATCTCAACCATTGTTGCTTCCGTAACGCTCCTGGCCACCCTCATTGGTGCGCAACGAACGGACACTACAGTCGGAGTCCTGCAAAAAATTTATCACAGGTAAACTATAGATTTCTCGTATAGAATTAAAAGACTAAAGGACACAAATTCTGGTCGTGATTATTAAAAACCAACTAAATTGTTACAGCAATCATAATTTGATTATAATTTTACTTGATCTGATTGAAAATGTGATTATTAACAACTAATGTTTTACAGCAACCATAGTTTCATATTACAATTTAACTTATTTAAATTTGTGATATTTACGAACCAACTAAACTTTTAGAGCAATCATAATTTGATCGGTAAAAATTCAGTTAATCCTTAATTATTTTATTCTTTTTTTGGAAAAGAGCCGTGTCTATACGCGCGACTGAGACAGAATAGAAAGAGAATATTTTAGAAACATGTTAGAAACGTTTCCCGTGTTTCAATATAGGCTATCATATTTACAGATGCGCGGATAGCGAGTCCATGTTATCCTGCGTGAAACCGAAGGTGCTGGCTTACCTCACCGATGCTGTGAAGCAGGACAGACTGGTGATCACGGAGGATCTGGCGGTGGTTAAATCCCGCGACGCGCCAGAGGATGACACGAAGGATTACGATCCGTCGCAGGACGACGCCGAGAATCCGTCGAAGAAGAAATTCCTGCGCACGCTGATGCTCGAAAAATTGGACGCGTACCTAGCGAGCCATCAGCTCGAGGCCAAACTGCCGGATGCGATCGCAGGATCCAATATTGTTCCTAGGTCCTTGGTCGACAGTATGCCGAGGAGTATTACCGTTCCTCTCAGTGACTCCTCTAATGGACAAGGTGACGTACGAAAGATGATGAAGATGTTCAGACTTATTCTATCATTTTTGACGACAGTGTCGTCATCATCACGTTATCGATGCGCAAGTATAATATATAATAACGATTACGAAAATAGGTCTACTAATGGACGTCGTGTCGCACTCGACATCTATTTCTCGCCTAATATCTCTTCATCTATTATTTATATCTGAATTTGACGTTTAAACCAAGGCGAGGGCACGTAACGCTGAGATTTCACGTTTGCCGGAGCGTCGGATTTACGAGAAGAGCATTTTGAGTAGATCACGTTCTTTTGTGTTCACAGGTCGCGGTTTCGTCAAGAAGGTGATGATACCGTTCCTGCTCGGTCTCAAGTTCAAGGCCACCGCTTTGGTACCCCTCGCTCTCGCTCTGATCGCCTTGAAGACGTGGAAGGCGTTCACCCTCGGCCTACTGTCGATGGTCCTCAGCGGGGCGATGCTGATCTTTAAGCTGACGAAGCCGAAAGTCGCTTATGAGGTTGTCCACTACGGACACCCACCTGTGGAACACCCACCTCACTGGGACACGGCGCCTCACGGACCTTACAGGGCCTACAGGAAGTGAAAGGGCGCAGTAGGATGAAGTTCGTCGTTGCTGTGTCCCTCGTTTCTTTGTAAATTATTTATTTAATATTTATTCGTTAGTGTTCCGCCGTTAATTATACGTAATAAAAGTTTCTACATCGTTATATTAAGCGAATCTCGTCGATTGTCTTTCCACCTTTATCCTATCCCACTCAACGTATGACTCTCGTTTTTATCCTCGACTGGGAACGGTCGTTAACTGTCGCGTTAACGTCGTGGAAAGAAGAGTGATGAGTAATGTTAAAGAATAGCAGATAAACACGGAAGTATGTCGGAAGCGAGAAAGTGACGCGCTTGTTGACATCGGCTTTTATTTTTAACACCATGTGAGTTACTCAGAGATGAGGCGTGTAGGCGTGTCATCGTCAGCACAGCGATTCAATGCTGATGAAAATTGATAACTGTGTATCGTATATTATAATTAATACAGAGAGAGAGAGAGAGAGAGAGAGAGAGAGAGAGAGAGAGCAATTAAATGACGCCGCTACAGCAGAAACCGATGAAAACTTTTGCAAAAGTTCGTCAACTCATGTAAATTTTATCAAACGTGTATTTGAGAGATTCTGCTAAACGAAGCAAAGCGAAAATGTCCGGAAAGGAAATAAAATATCCGTACGCAGTAACGCGCAGCTCACGCCCCGTGAATAGATTTTCCGAGGGTTCTTACACGCATAAACTCGCGTCTCGGAGGTGTACGTCGAACGCGAAGAGCACGAGAAACCGATCCGTCTCGCAAAATGCGAAAGACGTTGATCGACATTTCGTCGGGCGGACGGCCTGAATGCTTATGCAAACTTGACCCAAAATTCCAATTGCCGTTTCATTGTTACGGCGAAGAGGAAGAAGTCGGGCAGCGCGGATAGAAGCGTCTGTGCGAATGGTGCCTCGCGCGCATTCACGCGCGAGAAACTGTCGTACGCGGCGCGCATCGCTGATACGGGCTGTCGAGGCGCCGTTTTCCCTCGGGCGCGATCGGAAGCTACGCCATTTAATGGGTCCCGCGGGGTGAAATTAGCAGGTGGATATCGATCGAGCTAATGCGACGACGACGATTGTAAAGCGTGTGTGTGTGAGAGAGCTTTAACGGAGTCGCTCGTGTGGAAAGTCACGATCGTGACATGAATGAATGATCGACATGACGCCTGCATTACGGTGATTTCAATGCCGGGACAAACAGACTCTTGTTACGACGTACGCGACGCTTCCGGTTGCTCGCAGTATACACATCGAAGAAATGACATTTTTCATCTTTTCTCACATAATGGGGAAATTCTTAATTCTTTGTCACATATATTATCTTCTTAAATTATAGATACATTTTATGCTAATTAATCTATCGTCAATTTTTCATATGTTATTCGGCGGGTGAATCGGTGACGCTTGATATAAAACGTTGCACAATACTGAGAGAATAAGGTGTATGATGAAATAATAATTTGATATGTTGTGTAAATGAAATAGTAATAATCAAGTATGTAAATAAAATGTAAAAGATTTATAAACGAAGCTTATCAAGCGTCGCAGTTTATTCTTGTCATAGCGAAATTTTCAGCTAAAATTTAAAATTTTATCTTAAATATTTTTAATTTTAAGTTTTACTTTGCTTTAATTTTTATGTTTAATTAACTTTTTAATTAAATTTTAAATTTAATTTCCAGTTTGAATAGAGAAATTACATCAAAATTTACATAGATATGGAAAGTCGACATACCTATTTTTCTTTGCTATGAAATACCGAACTCCTTCGAAAAATTGAGTTGCGTCCACTACGTGTAGTAAGTGGAACTGAAGTGGCAGTTTTTGTTTGCAAGCGCATTCTATTATGTTATTAGCGTTAGTTAGTTTAGTTTTTTGATATGTTAAGGTTTTTCTTGAGCTATTTTCTTGTAAATGTAACAAATCAGCGGTAAGTGAATTATTGGGCAATATTATTTTAGAATTGAAGTTTTGAACTTTTTAAATCTCTTTGGGATCCCTCTTGTACCAATCTTTAGCCCCCGTCTACAATAGATGTCTTAAGCCCTAAAATTTAAGAAATTAACCAATCGCAGTCGATTATTATCTTCACATTCGACCGTGATTGATCAATTTCTTAAGACTTAAAATTTAAAACATTTATAAAAGACCGGGACTTATCTTCCATCCCTGAACCGCACAAGAAAGTTAGATTATTTTGTAATCTGGCATACCTGAGTTTATTCGTCTTTCAACTGACATACCTGAACTTTACTACGAAATATCATCTCACAGAATACATTTGAAACTACCAGTGACTGATTTTCTTTTGTTCTTTCTTTTGTTTGTTTAAAATAGGAAGAAGAATTCAATTTCTTTCCACATAATAAAAAGTATGCAAGATTAAAAATAATATGTAGGGATATGTAATAAATATACAAAATAATGTAATTTTAATGCTTTTATTTAATTTTTAACAATTTTCTAGTAGGTGTATACGTATATGAATCAAATCTACCTGGAAAATATGATTATATATGATTATATATAATTATGTAAAATCATATATGAATTGTGACCATATATGTGGTTACATATATATTATCAAATATGTCTATACGAAAGAAGTAGTGTTATGTCATTTAATTAAATATCAATATCACACACTGTCAGAAGCGCAAATAGCCAGAAGCATTTACTTCGATTGTTCGATTCGAATATAATTTATAAAGAAAGTATTTTTTCTTCGTGGACATATATGATTATGTACAGTCACATACGGGCAAATTTCGTACATGACCTTTTTTCCTCGGGTATACATACCGGCATGAACTTTTGCACGAAACTAGCGTATATCAAAGACACCATTCCTTGTACGGTTTCAGTCGCGCGGCTCTCGTCCGTGTCAACCGGATCGCGACGGATCCGAGTCGATTTCGCAGTCCGGCTGCGTCCGTCAATCAAAAATTTCTTTCCGGGCCACGCTCCGAAAATATATTTCACGAGCGTCGCGAGCTTACAACCGTGCGCCCTCGATCGCACGTTTGTAGAAAGCAAACTGGCGCTTATTAAATATCATAGATCCCGTCGCGTGTCACGAAAGTGCGACCCACTGGCGCAGCCGGCGAGCGCTACCCCCGATTCGACGTCGCGCGTAACGCCGACTTCACGCCGGGGCCTGTCCTATCCTCCCTCATCAAGCAGTCGCGGCATGATCCGTGGCGAGGCCTCAATAATCGAAGACCATACTGAACGAAAAGAAAATCCAACTTGGCCGACGGAGGTGGGGCGACGTTCCCGAGCGCCGCTACGCGACTCTTCGACGTGCGACTCTTGTGCGATTCGACGCTAGGCCTCGTATAAATACCGTACTGCCCAACCCATCGGCATCAGTCGTCGTCGTGCCGCGATTGTTCTCATTCATTATATTCGAGCGGGTGTATTTGAAGCCTTCCTCTTTATCTTCCTCGCGACGTCGGGATACACACACGATCACAATCCTTGCGCCAACGCCATGAAGTTCCTCGTCTTCTCCTGCGCCCTGCTCGCGTTGGCGGTCGCGCAACCGGCCAAAAATGAGAACTGGAAGAGCGCCATGGACGAGATGGTCGACCAGAGCAGGTCCGAGTGCGCGCAGAAAAACGACGAGGTTGCGTGCATGAAGTTCAAGGTGTTCAACCTGCTCGATCAGGTCTTCAGCAAGGATAACTTCAAGGCGAGTATTAGAGGCGCTAATCGAGAAGGATTCTTCTTCAGGGTGATTTGAATCGTGATATCATAGAGTCCTCGCGTTTTCATTCTCTTCGGCTTCACCTCGATCACCTGAGATCAAAGTGAATTGATATATCGATCGTCTTTTTAGCTTTTCGATAGTGTTTATCTGTTTTAATTTTAATCTCGACATTCCTCAATGAAACACTGCGCTGTCCTAAATTTGTAAATATTCTCTTTCTTACCACAGCAATTCTTGCAGGTGTCCGAGTCGGTGGAAGTTACGCGCAACTCGCACCCCGTCGAGGAAGTGTCCGGCCGTAGCGAGATCTCCTTCCTCGACACCGTGCAAAACTACTTGGCCTCTCACGACGTGACCTTCAAGCTGCCGCTTGACTCCGCCGTGAAGGTGAGCTCGCGCAACATCGAGGACGACCAGCTCACCTTCGACGTGAAGTTCGGCCAGGGCCGCGCCGTCGACGAGGCCCGCAAGTCCAAGCTGAAGAAAGTCGTCATCCCAATCCTCGTGTTCGTCCTGCTGAAGGCGATGACTCTGATCCCCCTAGCCATCGGTGTGCTCGGCTTGAAGGCCTGGAACGCCCTGCAGCTCTCGTTCTTCAGCTTCATCGTGTCGGTCGGCATGGCCATCTTCCAGCTATGCAAGAAGATCGCCGCCGACAGCCACGGCGCGCCGATCGCCCACGGGCCTTGGGAGTACCAGACCCAGTACAGGTCTTTCCAGGACCAGCCGTCGTCGTCGCAGCTCGCGCACAATCTCGCGTATTCCGCTCACGCGCAATCCTAACGTCGCTGCCGCACCGTCGGCGCTTTTGTAAAATACTTAGCTCTCTCTTCCTACCTGTACTGTCTATTTAATAAATTATTACTGCAAGTCACACCACACATACTCTGCGCTGTACCTCGAATACTTAATCACCCAGACGCCGTTATTCGTCGAATGCCGGAATTTATTCTTGAACAACTGATTAGTTATTAGTGTAAAAAGCAAGAGAGAAAAGTTAGAGCTTTAATTAGTATTTTTATTCCTTTTTTATTCTCCTTGTTTAAATACGTAAATCTTTTTGCACGGAGAATTCTTTTAAGGAAAGCAAAAGAAAAAAAAAACGTTCAGCTTCGATTAGTATTATTCATTTTTTATCTTCTTCATTATTTAAATATATCGATATACAAATTTTCACACGGAGAATTCTTTTCGGGAGAGATATTAGATATACAAATTAATTCTGTGTCTTTTTTTATGAAACTTAAAGTTTATTTACGAAAAGTCAGATACAAATTTAATATTCGAAATGATTTCCATTATTTTCCTTGACTCTATTCTACTCATCAAGCAACTGATTAATGCTCTCGTGGAAGAAACTTAGTGGTTTTTTGACTCAATAAAGTCATCAATGCTTTTTCGGACTTCGTCAACTGCTTTAAAATGCGTATCTGCCACATGATGTTGAAACGGCCGAAACAGGTGGTAATCCGACAGGGTTGACGAATAACCCGCATAAGAGAGAATTTCTCAAATCAATATATAGATGAGATCCTTCGTCTCTTTTGCGGCATGCAGTCGAGCGTTATCGTTTCAGCAGAGTCACCTATCTAGTTCCACTTTCGGTAAAAGGTCTTTTTACAAGATTTATGTGTCACAGCACCTTAACCCCAAGCGGAACAAATCATTTTGGTAACTTAAACAGCATTTTTATTCAACTGGAACGCAGAAAGGATGCAGTGCCTCAGATGCTACTTTTCGGATGACATCGTGATAACTATTGTTTTCTGAGATTATGTCAGCAAGACCGTATTATAATGTTTCTTACAGCTTAAAGTTGGTATTTTCAAATCACCATAGGGCGAGAAAAAGATTTTAATTTGAATCAAAGTTATAAGACGTTAAATGTAACGGCACCGAATTAATTTGTACACCTAATATATTTCAAATAAACTTATCTCTTCGTTCTGTTTTAAAATTAAAATATATTATTTTGTATTAATTATAATAATGTAATTTTAAGCAATAGTTTTTTGTGAAGATGAAAATTCGAATGAATATTTTACATAAAGTTGTAATTTTCCATAATAAGTATGACAATATAATTTGTCTTCTTTTGCGGTATGATCGTCCTCCACGTCGCCGTTTTTCATTGAACCCAAGAGGACGCCTCCTGCATTCCGAATGGGCTGAAACTTTTTAGGGGACATTTATACACGGAGAGGCCTACATACGAATGCAGTCACTTTCGTTTCCTACGAAAGTTGATTGAAAGTCATCCCCCTCAGAAATGAGTCATTTCACTGGTTTAACACGTTACGTGACTCGTAATTTTCACAGAAACGCAAAAACACGCTCTCCATCAAAGAGATAAGAAACCTTGTCCGCTTTTCGCGGAATAAAAGAACCAGCAAAGCGAATCAAGCGGCAAAGAAAATAATCACAAATAAAGATGAGTTGCCGAACAAGTTCTCGATTTGAAACACAACCGACCTCTTTAATCTCCGATAGTGTATCGTTACTACTGCAATTAGTCGAATCACCTCGAAGGAAGAAACAATTAAGTTGAATATCCGACATTTCATTTATTCATGCGTCCGATTCAGCTTGGTCGCTCGCGCGGATTCAATCGACACTAATATTCCGTCCGTGTACTTTACGTACTCTACCTTCGCAAGGTGTTATTACCGCTGCGTCGAACCACGGCTCTCAGCCGCGCCGAAAGTAAATCCGCGGCACCCGGCGGGCCGACCTGATTTCCCATGCGCTCCTGCTTCACCCCGACAACAGTTTCGCCGAGATTTACGCGCAGCCCACTTCGCCATTCGGCAACGTCGTCGCGGATGGCGCGTCACCGGCGCGTGTACGCGAATACGGAGCGCCGTAATCCGTGCCGTGATGCCTCGATCATCCGCGCCCTCGTGAAAGACGGATGCGCACACCTGCGTCTTCTCGCCTGCGAACATCCTCCTCCCCCTCGGCCCTCCCAAGGCGGGGAAAACTATGCTCGCGGTTTCCCGGAGTGGCGGCGACAACAGTTATCCATTCTGCTAATCGGCGTAACGTCGTGGAAGGCGCACGCACGGGCTCGGCCAAGTGAGAGCACGCTGGCGGAGAGGCGCGAGTTCCGTTTCCCGCCTCGTCCGTCCTCGTCGTCGCCTCCGTTGTCGCATGCCATCGTGTGCGACGCACGCGACGCACGACAATCGATAGGCGCGTACGTACGCGCCTGTGTACTCGCTCGTTGAATGGCCGAGCACGCGGGGGNGGGGGGGGGGGGGGGGGGGGGGGGGGGGGGGTCCGGAGGGGGAAGAGACGCGACGACGCTCTATGCCAGTGAAATTTGAATAATTTTCCTGCGATCGTCGATTCCCGGCATGCGCGACCGAATAACATAGATTCATGGGGGACAAATTAAATAAAAGGGGCGGGCCACTCCTCCGTCAGTCGCAGTTCGATCGCCGATCATCGCACGAACGCACGCACGCACGCACGCACGCACGAACGATCGATCGGATCGTTTCCCCCCTTTTTTTTTTTATTTTTATCGTTGAGACGCGCGACGCGAGCGTCGTCGCGGCGAGGAAGACGCGGGAGGGAAACGCGCGCGCGAGAGAGCGGTGAGATTGTCGCCGAGTTAGTCCGTCGAGAGGAAACGAAGGAGCACCCCAACATGAGACTGATTGCATCGATAGGCGCGATCGTTCTGTTAGTTGGATCTTGCGCGGCCAACCAGGACCTCCTCGCCAAGTCCTTGAGCGAGTGCGTCGCGACCGAGTCGTGGACTTCTTGCCTGAAGCATCATGTTTTGGATTATCTCGACGGCGAGCTGGGCATCAGCACGGAGGCGAGGTCGTTGGAGACCTTGGACGAGGCGATCGTCGCCAGGACCGTTAAGTATCTGAGGAGTTTCGATTACGGGCTCGATCTGCCCTTGGTCGACGCCAGGCTGAAGTACAGACCCAGCAGGAGCTTGGCCGACCTGGACGTCGAATTCAAGGATAACGAAGCGGCTACTAGTCAGGCCCGAGGACTCTTGAAGAAGAAGCTCTTGTTACCGTTCTTGCTGCTGCTGAAACTGAAGTTGAAGGCTCTCATGCCCATCTTCGTCGCCATAATCGGACTGAAGGCGCTGAAAGCCCTCGTCCTGTCGAAGCTCGCCATTCTCGTCGTCATCGGATTCGTCGCGATGCAATTCCTCAAGAAGGGCGGCATGATGATGCCGATGGGTACGTACATGTGTCTTGAACGATTCCAACAGTTGGCAGATGTATATGGCATTTTCATAAGTGAGCCCTACGAGAATAATCTAATCGATGTCATTAAAAGAAAAAGGATAAAGAAGATAAAATATGACATTCGGTGGATAAAAGGTCGCAACGTGAGTTTGCTCGATGAGTTCAAACTGTTTTATAGATCAATATCTAATAATTACTAAGAAACAAGGTAAAAATGAAACATTAGGTGAGGTTGCAACCTTTCGTCCAGCTGCGTTATTCGGTGAAACATTTTAGCATATTTAAGGAGGTTGTAACTTAAACAACACATTTTTTAAATCGTCTCAGAAACGTTTTTTAGATATCTTATTGTTTAAAAGACGTTTTTACGTTTTAGGATGTCTTAATGTTATCTGGGAAGGCTTAATGTTATATTTTCAGTGGCATCTCTCAAGGGAATCATTTATAAATTGAATAACTGTCAAGCAAAATTACATTCCTATATTTTATTTCACTGTTTTAATAATAAATAATCTAAATAATAAATATTAATATTAATTTGAAATGAAGAATTGAGGTAAACATACATGAGGTAAACACAATATTAAAAATATGAAAATATTATTTTTCAATCAATTAAAGAAGATTGTATTATTATATTTTATATTATTTTTTGTTCTCTTTTTATAAATGCTATATTTTTGTATCAATTAATTTAATAGAGATAAAGATACACAGGTAATAGAAAGAGGCATATAAGTATTTAAATATGTATATATATTTAGAGTATTACTATAAGTTATGAACTTTACACTTTTGCATTTTTAAAACTGAATGGTCAATAATTCTGAAATTTGTATGTAACCTCTGCATATTAGTCTTTAATATCTTCGTAGTTTTTCAAAATCAAAATCTTATTTTTAATTCAAGAGCTATTAAAAGCAGGAGTTAAAAATGGCGTTAACCTCAAGAAACACATATAAAAATTGCCAACATCAGTTGGAAATGTCTCAGCTCTCGAAGTTAATTGTTTTCTCATTACACAAGCAGTTAGATAGTATTTTAACGTATACGCAGTGCCAATTTCATCGAATTCTTATCGAACTCCCTCAAACATCTCACCAGTCTCGATGAATTTCGCGAAGAGAAGTATTGCGATTAATCCTCGGCGAGAAAGAGTGCTTCTCACGCCGCTTTCGTCAAGTGCGCGAAGAATGAAAAGCTTTTCGGCCACAGGTATGTCCATGGAACCGGCGACGGCGTACGGGGTGGCGCCTTCGCTCTCGACTACGTCGAGCTACGATCCCGCCAACACGTGGGACGGCAACGGTCCGTACTCCCGCGTCTGGTCGCCGAGCAACGGTGTGGAGTCTCAAAATCTCGCGTACAGCTACTACTCGCCCGGCAGCTCGAGCTCCTACAGCTCGGTAGGCTCCTCTTCGTCGTCGTCGTCCTCGTCCTCAGGCGGCTCCACGAACTATTCGTCCTAACGACGGCTCACCGACCACCGGCCGAGACGCCGCCCCGCTAACGGATCGATCAATGTATCGTCGGCAAACGAGATACGACCAAAGAAACGCACGCCAAATAATCACGGAAGCAGCTTCGCGCATCAACGCGCTGACGAGAAACGTATCGTCAGTTTCGTTAACAATAGAACTCTCCTTTCCTTCCTCCTTCCCTGCCTCCTCTTCCTCCCTCTCGTCCCAAGACTGTCGGCACTGCGTCGGCTATAATCCAAGAGTCGTCTCATGAGACTCGCTTGCTCACGTCGAGCGCGACGCCCCGGATTCGGTAACTTATCGAGAATTTATATCGAGAGTTGGGTTAATTAAATTTTCGATAAAGTTTGAGAATCCGAAGATCGAAAGATCCCCCCCCCCCCCTCCATTAGGCACCTAAATTGTGGAATTGTTCGAAGAGACTTCCCACCGGAATCGTTCGATCATTCCCTAGAAAACATTATAGAAATCTAGGGAATAATTGAGCGACTCCGATCGGAAACTTTTCCGAGCGTTTCCATGACAGGTGGACTCGATCCGCGGATCGACGACGTTTCGATTGAAATTCGTCCGGTGAAATCGCCCGCGAAACCGACGACCACTGACAGCCGTCATTTCTCCTCGGGTAATTAGCGCGTATTAACGGAGCCCGCGGAGAGAATATCGGTCGCGGTGATCAGCCGGCGATCAATACCGCGGACTACGCGAGAATGTCGTTGCTCCGACATGACTCTCGACTTATTTATTTCTCGCGCGGCACGATTATTTATTATTATCCCCCCCCCCCTTGTGTTGTGTTAATAAAAGCATTTCTCGCGAAAGAAACTACTCGTTCGTTCGCACCTTCCATCTTGACGTTCCTTTGGAAATCTTCCCGTCAATGTTGTTGAATGAAAACTTTATGTATCATAAATAAATGTTTTCAAAGATATTTTGCTATTTTTTAAGATTGACAACGTTTTTTCAGCAAAATTAGTTGTTTATCTCGAATAAACTACGAGTGCACTACGAGCGCACTTTTACGTAATTAGTACCACAAGCTCTATTACAAGCCCTATTAGGCGCCTGTAGGATGTTTACTACTCCATCACGTGCGGATAAAGTCTCAGTTAATATCCTTCTAATACAAATAACGTGGAAGTTACGTCGTTAGAAGAGTGAAATTTAATTTGAATCGTCAAAATAATAAAAATATAAGAACGTTTCTGTTATTTTCAAATTAATAATCTTTGCTAAAACATATTTGTACCTTCCGAGAACATAAAGAGATCTGGTAATAAAGTTTTACGTTGAATTGTAATTAAAATGTGTAATTAACTATTAATTTTAATAAATTAACTGTTAGTAGCATCAGTGATTAACCATTAAATATTAATTGCAATCGGATGAAAATTTTATGTATTTTATTGAGGGAGCAGAGAAGAGCTCTCTCTGAGCTTGGCGAGCTATGTGTCCTGCAGCAGGTAACGCTGTTACAATGCCACGATCAACCTGGGAGAACAGTACACGATGGCGCCTGCAAGCCAACGGTGATCCATGGATCGTACGATTCATTCTCTTTATCGACCGTTGCAACCTGTACAACCGTCGTTGTAAATCGTTGTAATATTCGCCTAAAACGCCTCGTGAACTTTCAAAATTTTTAATTAAACATTTTGTATTATCACGTTTTATTAATAATTATAAATATTAAATTGCGTTTATATTAAAACGTAAGGAAACTCGGGGTAAGAGGAAGGCTTTATGAAAACGAAACAATCTTAATTAAGATATTTATTAAAACTTCTTTATAATTAACATTGATTAAACGTTGATGTTGTATGACTAAATTGAGATTAAAAGAAGTAAAAAGTGGAAAAAAAACTTTTTCAAAAGACTATTGGACTTCATCTTATCCCACAACTCGGGGTATGATGGAATAGCGTTGAAGATAAGAAATGGTTGAAGGCAAGATGATTTATGTCATCACTGATGTATAAATCATAAATAAGTCTTACTAATTTTTTTTTCCTTTATGTCAAATCCCGTACAAGATTCTTGTGTTTAATGCTGACAAATTTGATGAGATATTCAGTCTTCATCTTCCACAGAATATGAGTGCAGGCCTGCACAATATATGCACTAAATAATATCAGCAAAGCGATCTAAAGTTAATTAAAAATATAACAGTAATATTTAGCAGTAATAAGAATTATTAAGATAATATAGAAATATTCCCATCTTATCCCATTCAGTTGACTTTTTCTTGTCCCAAATAATATACCATATCACATCAATATATACACAAGTTATTTGATACGGCATCAAACAATCCATAAAATTACATCAGATTTATTGGTTTTCGTATAACTCATTCGAACTTGCGACATGTGTAACCTCTGCTATTGTTCGTCACGGACCAACATATTCACACGCCTCACTTTTTTATACGCAAATCCAAGTTTGTAGTTGCATAATTATTTCTATATATATAATCGTGATTAGCTCTCTTAACATCGTGCATATTGTTGTCAAAGACGACGAACAAACAATTGTTGTTCGGAAAATGTTCGATCTCTCACAGTGACATTAACGGGCGGAAAAACAATCAATACTCGGCGATGTGGCAAAAATGTGCGAGACGAAGAAATGCCTTTTTTTCCGGAATACTAATTAGTAATTAGAATATTCAAAGCGGCACCTGTTGTATCGATTGTTAATGATTTGTTTTTCACGATACTGAAAGATCCTGACGAAGAATTCACTATGCCCATATTGCGAACAAAGCCTCGGGCTTTGATGCTTTCGACCGACGAAAAGTTTTTTCCACCAACAGGTAAAGTCTGACCCTTTTAATAGTAGACTTTTAACGATGTGTTTTTGTTTAGATATCCATGGCATTTATTGAACAGGTTGTTTAGACGTATCAATGGGTCTTTCAATGAGAAGCCTCTCGTCGAGACATTGTGTCTCAACTTCTTTTGATGCGGAATAAAGAAAATAGCATAGTCAGTTATAAAGGTGATGAAAGATTACAACTTCGAAAATCCAACGCAAATTAGAGATTAAAGACAGCTCAAAGTGCCGGGACAAAGGGGTTCACAAAAGTGTGTCACGAGAAGTCCACAAAATCCTAATCCTATTCTTACTGGGCCGCAAAATTGGTCTATTCTTCTACTTTCTTCGGGAGATTTCCCAAGATTACCATCATATTCCTTTCTCCGCAAACCGGACCCGAGCACGTTCGGCTGTATTATCTTGTTGTACCCAATCCGACTTATGTATCTGCGCCAATGTGAAAACTATCGGTGAAAGCGAAGGCACGGTGGTCAAATCGTCCGAGCGCGCGTCCACAAAGCGCTCGATTTCTCTTCGCCCATAATCGCCCGAAGATGAGGATATCCTTTTGCGGGTCATCCTTTTGTTCCGTTTTTGCGAGAAGAATTTGCCTCCGCGCCTGCCGATACCGCGTCACGCGCGCCCACCGCGCGAGTAGGGCACATATTCTTTAGAAAGTGCGCGTTCATCGCATCCACGAGATCGCGCACGATTGTGAAACCCACCATTATGGCTAACAATGTTGCTGAAAGTATACGTGTATTATTTTAATAATCATAGTACGGATATCTCTCTCTCTCTCTCCCTCCCGGTCTCTCCGCGACGTTGTGTGAACGGCGTTTCCGGGTACCCGCATACGACGTGCACTCCGTACAGCCGATTACGGCGGAAAGAATCGCTCGCGTCGTGATCAACTTTTCTACGCGCGAGCGTAGCGATGATTGGTGCCATTAGACGGCAACTTTCTTTCGTTCAGGTGTACACCTATATCCTCGATTCCCACTGTGCGTTTCCGCGTCGTAAAACACTTATCAGTCTTTTCCATCTCGTCAGAAGATTTCAACACTGGCGGAAAGCATATTACGTCCCGCTGAAGGCTTAAGTACTCCTGTTAAGTCTTAGAGAAAGAGAGAGAGAGAGAGAAGAATTATATATGCTCTATGTATTAAAACATGTTCTCGCCGATAATAACAGGTTGTTTCTCTTGACCGTACACACGGAAACGCAACGCACTGAGCGCGCGAGCACGCTTTTGTTAATTTATTTAAATTAGAGCTTCCATGAGAGCGGAGATCATCGAGGAGATTGTCTATTCCGCGTTATAAAAGTTCAATTTGTAGTCGTCGAAATTCCCGAGACCAAATTTTGAAGCTATTTTGACATTCATGAGGATAGTTTACGCTTACTTATATATAGATGGCCCGTGGAATAATAAAAATATACTCTAATGATAATGATTAACTTATTAACTTCCCTCTTGAACTTTTAATCCTACGCACAGAAAAAAAAAACTAGTACTGTTTCAAGACTCATTTCTATATATAAAAATATCTAATTTTATATAAAAATAAAACTTGCCCTTACATGAAGAATTTCCATATAGTTCCACTAAAAATACATTCCTGTTAGTCAAGAATAATTTTCATGAATTGAAAAGACAAAAATATTGAATAAAAAGAACGATATCTTCAAACTAAAAATTACATCAGTTTGAAGATATTGTCATTTCTATCCAAGAATTTGTCACCTTAATTCATAAAAATTATTCTTGAGTAATAAGAATACGATACTTTTAATGGAATATAAAATTTCTTCATGTAAGAGCAGGTTTTATTTTCATATAAGATTATATATTCTCACACATGAGAATACGAATCTTAAATTGATGGAAATTTTCTTCTCCGTATATAGATTTATTTTTAATGCGAAAAGGAAAATTCATGACACCATCGGGATAAAAGTGAAGATATATCATCAGAAATGAAATTGACAGCTATCTTAGCTCCTACTGTGTTGTAGAATTCAAGGTTTAACATAGGGCCAAAATTTCGACACGGGTTGCCACGACAAATAATTCCGACACGGGATGTCGAGGTAAATAATTTCGACCTTCATATTTCCCCCTCGCTTTCTCGGCGCAATAACGGGTCCCGTTTATCACCGTGCGTAAA